TATATATTACAGTAGGTGTTTTTAGACCAAACAGTTCTTTGAATACTTTTTTGAAGAGGAACTATCCACTAGGGAGTTCCCTGAGAACTACACACACCATGGGGAAGTTATTTTGTCTGCATTTGCGTCGCTATGGTAACTTCTCTGAAGCAGGGCGATTACAGTAGAGGTTCCTCTAAACAGGGTTCTATAGGAACTAAACTAGTTTATAGTTCCTGCGGTGCGAAATAAGTAAACAAGGGGGAACGGTTTTAACAGTTTCTAAAAGTATGAAAAAGTTCCTGTAGTCTGAAAACAGCTTATATTGAATATACTGTATCTATGACTCTTAGAAAAAAATGTTTTCAAAAATATGTTTCTGGCTATATAAATGTAAAACAAATCAATATATAAACAAATACGATTCACATTGATTCGCTAATATTTCTTGTTTCTGTATGTAATCGAAACCCACAAATATATGAATTTATAAATGATTAGCCATATTTGGATGTTGGGATATTTATATACAGAACATTTCACATTAACTGTGTAAACTTCACTGCATTTGTGCGTGTGGGTATTTTAGACTCCTCTGTCGTGGCTCACTCACAGATCCTTTTTTTCATCAGGGTATCATCTCCAATCAATCAAATGTCTCCCTTATTAAGATAGAAGGACACATCTTTTTGAAAGCATTGAAAGAAAAAAACTATTTCTTTTGAAGAGACTGGTTCTTCTCAAATCCTAAATTGTATTGTGAAGCTCCCTGTGTGCATTTATTTGTTATTGACACTGATTTAACTGCAGAATTCTTCTTCACTGTCATTATAAAACATTTAAATCATTACACATCAGACATTTTGACTTGTCATAGTAGAAGAAGCCCAGATGTACTTAAATCATTGGCAATGGCACAGTAAGCCATGCCAGTGTGCCAGTGAGCCAATATGCACGACTGACCTTTTTTCACAGCAGAAGTTTGGCATGTCATAGCAGGTGAGCCCACTCCAAGCGCTCTGTGTTCTTCATGCTGTCACAGTGGAATCTCTCATTACAGATCTAAATCCAAACGGCACATTGATGATTACATTTGTTTTATCTGTTCTCTTCCTGCTATGACAAGTTCAATGTCTGCTGTGGATAATCTGCCGATTAAGAGTTAATACATTCACCCAGTTAGGCTACATGACGAGAAAGCAGTGTTGGTCATTTTCTTTTCTCACACACACATGCACAAAAACAAACACACACACACACACACACACACACACACACACACACACACACACACACACACACACACACACACACACACACACACACACACACACACACTCGGAGGCAGACAATCAACTGTACAGCGAAGACTTACTGATACTTGCGACATAACTAGTGATGAATGTTTGATTATGCAATGAATAGGCGTCTAAAAACACGCCCCTGAAATGTAGCTCATCTCCTTTACCCCCAAGTCAACACACCACCCTACACAAATAAACACACACAAGAGCACAGTGAGTAAATACCATTATTAAAATCCTAGGGGAGTTTCATAATCAGACACAGAATTTAATTAAACTGCGAACAAGAATCTGCAGGTTGGGGGTGTGTGTGTGTGTGTGTGTGTGTGTGTGTGTGTGTGTGTGTGTGTGTGTGTGTGTGTGCGCGTGGAGAGAGAAACGTGAACTTGAGAGGAGAAATATAGAAATATATTAAACCTATATAATTAAAATTTAATGATACGCTTTCACACATCTCTTGAAAAACTCAGGATATTCCAGGAGGAGCTGTATGTGTGAACACAAACAGACAGATTTTTTGCTTGGACTTCAACCTGAGTTTCTCCTGTCAGACCACTAGTATTCTTTCCGCCGCAATCAGCTTGAGCCAATAGGAGGAGGAGTGACGTTTATACACTGCTGCACGGTGCATAGAGAGTCTGCATATGTTTCCTATGTTGTTCTCCACTATTTTGTTGTTGATGTCATTCTGTTGGACTACACATAGCATTGATATAAAGACAAATATTTGCTTCGTCCGCTACTTCTGCATTGTTTTTTTATGTTACATCTTACCTCAGGAGACCCCCCACCCCCCTCCCCTCTGACAGGGATAGTTTCCAGCTGGGAGGTGATGTGTGAACAACCAGGTCAGGAGAATCTCCGGAGCACTCCTCCCAAAATGATCTAGATGTTTTCAGGAGTGCAGATGTGGAAATGGCATCAGTTTTCTTATTTACAACCAAGATTATCTAGAATAGGAAGCATCCAAGTTTTTCATGTGTTAAAAATAAATAAAAAGTTGGTTCTACTTTTGTTGGGTGAGTGAGGATGAAAGGCTTCAAATATTTTAATCATCAATTTTCAAGGAAGGTTTAGGAGGAGGAAAGGAGGCCTCAGGGTGCAACATATGCTCTGAGCCCTTTATGAGAAGAAATACTCCTTTTATGACGCCTGTGTCATTGATTTCTTCTGAACTAGTTAGCCTGAGGATGACACACCACACACACACACACACACACACACACACACACACCACATAACCAAACAGCTTTTCACTGCCTCCAATGGGCTAAACCGTAAGGTGTAGGCGTGATTAACAACAGAAGCTGGAGATGCAGTCAAAGTTCATTAATTAATCAGTTACTCTGTGGTTGCCATGGTGACTAGTTCTGACATGCAGTCTGGTCTCATCATCACACAGCACACCGAGCACAGCTCACTTTAGATCATGTCTGTTTTAGGGTCGCCTCTCAGGGGCCTCACATTGTGAACTGAACTTTAGTTCCACTTTGTTTCCATATTTATCTATTTTTTATAAAAGATTATTTTTTGGAGTTGTATGCCTTCATTGTAGAGGAGGACACTGGATATATCCCTAGTTGTAAACTGGATGAGAGAGTGGGGAATGACATGCAGGTAGTTTCCAAGTGTCAGAGTGGATTCAGGGTCGCCTGCACCAAGGACTGCAGCCTCTGTACATGATGGGAAATAACAGCTAGGTGAGCTGGTTCGCCCTAAAAAACTATTTTTAGCCAGAATTTCGTTTTTAATGAGAATTTATTTTAGAGTTTAGTAAATCTTAATTTTTGTTTCAGGGAAGTTTTAGGGATGTGTGGTTCTACTTTTAGTTTCATGTCAATTTAAACAGTTTACTGTAACCTAATATCATTTTTATAAAGTTGGCAAAAATCTATAATCCTGGCTCGATGCCAATCTAATTTTAAACAGGCAAATGAGATTAACTCAGTTTTGAGACATAATAATGTAAGTGACTCCTACTGTATTCAATGAAAATGTTCAGGACTTTTCCTGCCAGCCCCTCTGGTAAAGTTTCCACAATGGAGTCACAGTAAGCTGATGTGTGAACACAGGTTTAAATAATCAAATGCTCTACTTTTACTATAGTTAGCCAAATACAGGATGTGTGAAGGGAGGTAAGAAAAAACAATACTGATAAGGCTGTTTGCACACTGAAAGAGCTGCTGGTTGCTGTACCTCCTCCTGGACACAGTGGCTGAATAGATCCCTCTTTAAAGTAATGTGAGTGAAAAGGAGTCCCTCCTTATTCTAAAAATGCAATCCCTCCATTCATCCATCCATCCATTATCTATACTGCTTTTCCTGTTCATGGTGGCCTGAAGCCGATCCCAGCTGCCATTGGGTGAGAAAATTTAAAAAAATTAAATATGACTAGATCGACGTAAGCTGATTGAGAAAGACAAATCAAGAGGATATAGTGAACACAATAGTGTTATTGACTTTTTTCGGTCATATTTCTTAGTTGTGTTTCTCAAGCATCTACAACCTCTTAGACACATACAAAATGTATGAAAATATAAAACCCTCTCTTTGTAAAAACAATCAATCAAGACAAGCACAGCATGTGTGTCAGTGTTTCTTGTGTAATAATAAAATGAAGAATGTAGTGTACCATATTTCCATAACCGAGCACATTCCTTTAAAATGTCAGCAGGCCTATAAAAAGATTGCAGATGATGTGCTGCTGAGATTTGACTGATTTAAAGCATTACAAGGCTTCACTGTCCTGGGGCAAACGTTTCCGCAGAGGTCCTTTTTTTTTTTTTACATTATGCATCTAACTCCGACACCTGACAAGGTTTTTTCAAGGAACACAATGTTTAACTCTACCATCAGTTTGAAATCCCTTTGAGCAGTAGACACATAGTAACCTCACAGATTATTATTCAAACATTTCTGGAGGATTTCTGGAGTTATTCAAACACATAAGAACGGTCTGTCTACCCCCCTCCTTCATGCTCCCTCCCACCTTCCCTTCACACATAAGGTTCCTATAAAGTGCCTGCGGTCCAGACCACACGCATGCGCAGTGGTACTCCAGCGTAGCGTGTGTAGTAGTATTATTATTGTGAATGGGGGTGGGTGGAGATGCGGGGGCTTGAGGAGGAGGTATTTTGGGTGTACAGTCACAAGAGCGACTCGACGGAGCCAGGAAGTAGACTGTTGGTGCGTTCAAAGGCAGCCGGCATTGTCGTAATTGTGAACTTAACAGCTGTGCTGGACCGACCTGCTTACAAAGAAGGGGAAAAAGAGCTTTGTAGCTGTATCAAGAACATGACTACTGTTTATGCTTTCACCTCGTATTCATTATTCTGTTGTTATTTTTGCCATAGCCTATTTTTTCTACAGGCTAGGCCTACGTTGCTGTTTGGCTAAATAATTTAACAAGCGTCTCAAGCAAGCAGGATAACTTTTATAGGCTATTTTAAATGATGTTGAATAATGCTAAAAAGTACTTCAACTTCTGAGTGATGTGTGAATAAAATGTAAAATAGGCACCATGCCTCAGGAAGATATTTCGTCCCCTTCCTCGAGAGAACGAAACACACGCTCCTGCGATTCAAGGCTTTAACTTAAGCAGCTAAAATTAAGGTTATACTTCCTTAATCAATTTTGCTCAATTTGTGTCCGGGCCCTTTTGAACGCACTGCACTCGGCGGGCCCGTGAGGGAGGAGCACTTGAAAGTTGCAGGTAAAGCGGAGACACACAGAGAGCGCGTATTTGTTGCCACTTACTGGAGATCACACGCTCGTCAAGAGAGAGGGAGGGAGGTAGAGAGACACTGAGAGGCAGCGAGAGAGAGAAAGAAAGAGAGAGAGAGAAAGAGGGAGGGAGAGCCACACGGTCAAACTAAGCTTTATCTACCGCGGAGGGTCACTTAATAAGAGCTATTTGGAGCCAGAGGCGACCCGGAGCGCGCAGGAGCCGCAGCCAGACGCAGACCATCAGCAGCAGAGAGCACATTGCTCCACACAGGGAAGAGACAAAAAAAACATACACAGACACGGAAGAGAAGTGAGTGAAAGAAAGCACAGTGAGGGACGGAAGGCAAGACAGACTATTAAACTTTGACTGTGGGATAATATCAGAAAATAAGATTTTATTTTTTAAAAAAAAGTGAGAGGGAAGAGGAAGAACTGTGCTGGTGAAGATGCCGCGGGTAGTCCCGGACCAGAGGAGCAAGTTTGAGAATGAGGAGTTTTTCCGCAAGTTGAGCAGGGAGTGTGAGGTGAGTGTGCTGCTGAGCTTCTACACACACTGGATCCTTTCTGTTAACACAGCGGAAATAAAGACAGAGAAGCACGCTGGAGGCTCCAATCGTCTCAAACTTCATACATGTCACTTAACACACAATTGAATCAGGAGGATATATCTAAAATTGTAAAAAGCTCCCCTAATTTCCAAAGGTCGACGAAGTGCTCTTTAATAATACGACTCATTAAGATTGAATTGAAAAGAATAGCTCTTCTTTTAGACAATACGTCTGACACTACCTTCTGATTCCTTTTTTACTTTGTGCTCCTTTATTTTAATTTTGTGTTTTATGTATTTTTTCCTCAAATCCAAGAAGTAGGCTAATAAATGAGTATTTTCCTTTAGATATTGTATATTTTTTGATACAAATTGAAGAGAACGAGAGATGCATTTTTCATATATCAAAATTAATTTGGCCTATCGTCAAAAAAGAGCATTGATGTAAAGCAGTCCCCCCAAACACATGAAGAATATAAATGAATAACCTATAATACCATATATTATTGTAAATGTTACAATGTGTTGTTTTCTATACAGATTAAATATACTGGCTTCAGGGACCGGCCCCATGAGGAGAGACAAGCTCGCTTTCAGAACGCCTGCAGGGACGGACGCTCAGAAGTGGTGAGTCCACAGCTAAAGAAATTATCTTTTTATTCAATTTCCCCCGGGGAAAAAAACTGCAGAGGAATGTATTACCAATCACTGTTTTATATTTGACTCAAAGAGAGAAAGGAAGGCAGTGTTAATGTGTATTTTTTTTTACGAGGTTGTGACGCTGTAGAATCCTTTTTTTTTTGCTTATAAACTTAGCGCTGGCTCATTAAAGAAGCTTTAAAACAGTGACAAGCATTTATCTTATGTTAAGAGATAAGTGTGCTGTTATTGTGAGAACACTGACCAGGTCAGTTTGTGCAGTAGCACCGTGTACACTCGTGCGTCAGCGTGTGTGTTATGATTGTTCTGTATGATGATTGTATGATGTGTTCTTGAACAAGGGAGTAGACGTGTTGTCAGTCATGTCTTTGCTTCACTTATAGAAACACTCATGACTTCTTCTTGTCTCTGTGCTCTGCAGCTGCAGTCATCATTGTCTCTCAACACACATGTAGCACGCTTAAAGGTCACAACAAACACCGTCAGGGCTGCAATTTGGAGCCTAAAATTGGTGTCTTAAAGTAAACATCAGCTGTCATGTCTTATTTTGGTACAAACAGTAAACATGTAGTGAAAGAAGGAGACTCACAGTGAGTGAGCAGAGAAAAAGAAAACATTACAATAATGCAATAGACCAACTAAATGTTTTCAATTTGAAAATGTAATGCTTCCAAATGATTCAGTGTTTGATAAATGACCAGCATCTCTTTTCTCCTAGACCTTCTCATGATTAATCTAATCAATTATGAGGATTTTCTGCGCTTCTTTCTTTTAATGTGATAGAAACACAAACATCTTTGTATTGAAAGAAGGCAAAAATCAAACTCTCTGAGAATTTCACATTTATAAACCATTAAAAGGTCATAGAAAATAATCTGCAGATGAATAAATGGTGAGGATTTCCTTGTGTCGTCAGAGCTCAGTTATTGTTAAAACTTAAGTTGTTATATTACGTTTTCATCCATGGAAGAGTATCCAGTGGGTGATAGTTGCAGTGTAGGGGACAGTGTGTGTCGTTGAGTGAGAGAGTCTGTTCGCTGAATCGGTCTTCCTCCATTTCCAAACCACACTTCTCTTCAGCCACATCTTGAAATGCCTCCGATTGGTTGACAGAATTTGAGATGGATGCCTCTAAACGCGCTGCGAATTTTGTCTATTAAAGCAAAGGTCCTGCATTCACCAAATCTGACCTTATTTATAAAACTATTATTACACACTGTGCAGAAACAAAAATGGTCTCTGTCGAAACTCTGTCTTTGAGCTGCAGGTAAATATTAAAGGTAGGAGTAGTTTATAACATGTTGGATGGTTTAATGTATTGTATAACATTTAAATTAACATAACATGTAAATGATCAGCTCATTGCATCATCATCTGTATGCTCATTATAAGCTGTAGAATCGAAATCAGCAAATTACGTAAAAAAAGTCCTCTCTGAACATGTCTGCATGTTTTACTGTCTTCAATTTTCTGCTAAGATAAAACCAGTCTTCTCCAACTGAACCCAAGTGACTTTTCTTTTATTAATACGTCTCAAGCCTTTTTATAGTTTTAAACAAGTTAGGACACATTCATTTACTCATTATGTAATCATACAGTATACTCACAGTGTGAAGTGAAGTCTGCTTAAACTTTCTATTAAATCATGTGCTCAAGGTGAAGTCAGGCCAAAAATTTCGCCTGCTGGTGTAAACACACACACTTGTGACCACACACGCACGCACTCAAACACGCATGCACACACACACATATCCTCTGTCTGTCTGTCTGTCTGTCTGTCTGTCTGTCTGTGTGTCTGTCTGTCTGTCTGTCTGTCTGTCTGTCTGTCTGTCTGTCTGTCTGTCTGTCTATGTGTCTGTGTGTCTGTGTGTCTGTGTGTGTGTGTCTGTCTGTGTCTGTGTGTCTGTGTGTCTGTCTGTCTGTCTGTCTGTCTGTCTGTCTGTGTGTCTGTCTGTGTGTCTGTGTCTGTGTGTCTGTCTGTCTGTGTGTCTGTGTGTCTGTCTGTCTGTCTGTGTGTGTGTGTGTGTGTGTGTCTGTCTGTGTGTCTGTCTGTGTGTCTCTCTGTCTGGACATGACGTTAAAAGAACGACAGCAGAAATGTCAGAAAAAGAAATAGAGTGACAGTCAGTGTTTTCTGCCTCTATATCAATGCTATGTGTCGTTTCACATATTCACAGTGTCTATGGAAGAGCAGAGAAGAAGAAACTGGTGAGCAGAAAACTTAATGAAGCAGTTTAATTAAGTGCATGGAGATTGCACCTGTTGCCCCTCTATACATTTTATGATGGTATGCGGTTTGCAAGATATAAACGTCACCAGCATCTCCCACCCACTTGCAGTGAATTTATCTGAATATTTCCTTTCCTGAAAAATACTAGGAGGCTGGCAGAAACATTCTGTGTAAAGTCGAAGTGAAAAAACTCCCTCTGAAAACTTGAGTTTAGTGCATGTGTGAAAAAGGCTAAAGAAACCTGAGAGAGGGATTCAGTTTCTTCTGATCGTTGCAGCTCTAACACTAAATATGCATTACTTTCTGATTGTCCCATTCTTTTCAAAAAAACATTTTACTGATGAAAACTTCACGTGGATGGTTTGGCTTCTCTGAGCAGAGTGGTGGAGATGTTCATAGTTTTTTTCTTATACCAGGAGGGTGTGTTTTCTATTTCTCAGTAAAGTTTTCCATTCTCATCTAAAATCTTACTTTATGACATTTTTGAAGCGACATCACATCACTGATAACAGTCCAAAATAAGATGACCAAAATCTGCCATTCTTTGCTACATTTTTTTAAACTTTATTTAGAGATAGGACAAGAGTCAGAAATCAGGGAGAGAGAGAGTTGGGGAATGACATACGGGAAAAGGATCCACAGGTCGCATTTGAACTCGAGGACTACAGCCTCTGTACATGAGGCGTACACATTAACCTCTATTTTCATTACCAGTACAATCTTATTTATTTTAATGACCGATATCAAAAAGTACTGTAGCTTTAAAAACAATAACCTGTAGATCTTCAGTGGCCGCTATGAGAGAAAGAGAGAGAGCAGCTGTGGTCCGTTCAAGTTCACACCAGTACTGATGTTTCTTAAGTCCTTTTGGCATCTCATACGGAGAAAAATAAACAAATAACATGTGTGCAATTTGTGTGCAGGAGTTTGTGTGTGACTTTTGATAATCACAAACAATCTGGTGCACAGGACTTCTGTTTTTGTTGTCCGGTGAAGAAACAGGTTTTGACCTTGTTTGAATTTGAATAGTATCATGACAGCTCTAGTGAGAGCTTGTGTACAGTTGTTTAGTTTTAAATGAACAATATTTGTGTTTTCATAGACTTTGTGTTTTATAATGAGGGATAAATATATATATATATATATATATTTATCCCTCTGATATATATATATATATATATATGTGTGTAAGATATCAGTCTTATCTTTATAACATATCAGGAAGGGCCAGACAAAATATCTTTCCCCCTCTCTCAGGTCAAATTCTTTCTCGACCTAAACCCTGGACTGTGATACACAGAAAAAACATGAATCCACTTATATTTTATTTTTCAAGTGATCATTTACCACACAAGTCAGTTCAGAAAATGTTTTATTCATGGAAAGCTGCTTATAGACGTAAAATAAATGAAAGGCCTTTTAATGTGGATAACAAAAAGACAGAGCACTATGAGCTGTAATGAGTTAGCTGCTCAGAGCAGGAATACAGTGTAATGGTTTGAATGGTCATGGTTTGGATAGTGATGGTTTTAGGTCTTTTTTTTTTGAAGAGACATTGATTTGTTTTTGAAAATTTGATGAGTCTACGTGCCGTTTTATATTCTGCATGATTGCAACATTTAAACTATCAGAATAAGCATGGTAGTACAGTACATGCATTTAACAGCAGCAAATGCAAACTAACATTTTTATCTGATTTTAGTTATTAGGTATGCTCATTTTCTACTAGATGACTCTAATATGTACATTTTAGGGCATTATGAAACATCAGACACACACACACTCACACACTCACATACACAGATGTGCAGATCTGATCAGGGAGACTCTAAAATGCATCGAATTGATTTGATATATGGGACAATAATTCAAAGTAAATTATGTTCAGCTAAGCTCATTAGAGATGAGTCTCTTTCTCAACTATTATTGATTTTCATGCTTCGCTGTTCTCGCTCTCTCTCTCTCCCTCTCTCTCTGTGGCTCCTCTACCATCTCTCTCTTTCTTTCTCTGTGTTTTTCATTTCCTTTCAAGTCATTTCCTTTCTCTCTTCATTTACTTTCTCTCTTCTTCGTATTCTTTCTTTTTCCCCTTTTAATCTTACTTCCTTTCCTTATACGATCTGTCTTTCTTTACATACATTTCAAACGCTGTCCTGTTTACCTCCATTTCTAATTTCCTCCATTTCACTTTGCCTCCCTCTCTTTTCCTCTTCCTCCTTTGTCTCTCTGTTTCCCTCCATCTCTTTACCCTCTCTGCCTCTCTTTCACATCTTTTTTTCCTTCCGCAGTAGTAGGCAGCAAACGAGTATCAGATGGTTGTAATCAAATACTTCAAATACAGCAGAAACGATGACTCCGGTGTTTTTTGAGCTCTCCTGTCTTTGCATGTGTGTGTGTGTGTGTGTGTGTGTGTGTGTGTGTGTGTGTGTGTGTGTGTGTGTGTGTGTGTGTGTGTGTTTTTGTGCTCATGCACATACTCAATAATTTTCATCTTCCTGCTCTCCTGGTTGTTCTCTGCTTCTTCTCTTTCCTTCCTCGGTCTCTCCGATGAGGGACACATTTGACAGGGTGCATAATTTATATGCTTCCAGCTCAGTGGCAGCCCTTAATGCCCTTAGTATTGATCTGTCTCTGCAAACACAACACACATACACGCACACACAAAGACAACACACACACACACACACACGCACACACACACACACAGACACGCATAAAAAGCTGACATTTTCTAACTTGATTTTCTGCCTCTCTCTAATTCACGTCTTACTGACTACAACAGAGAAATGCATTCTATTGATTTTCATTTTTTGTGTGTCGCTTTGCCGTTTTTGAAGAAGTGTGTGTGTGTGTGTGTGTGTGTGTGTGTGTGTGTGTGCACTTTTCTTGACAGGAATGTTCCCTGTTAGAGCAAGAAGCCTTTTCTTTTTGCAGAAATCAAAAAACGAGGTCGGCTACAGGAAGATGTGATTATATGTTTGTGTGAGGAGTTGGTCGGTGGGCGGTTAAGAAGGAGACGTCAGAGAGGGAGAGGGAAAGATGAGGGCAGACGGGATAAAGAAAGGAGAGAGAGAAACACCCTGACAGACTTTATCAAGTTTAAACTCCACCAGGCTTAGACCCAAATAACACGTTTGAATTTATTCAAACGTCCTGCTCTTCAAGCTTTTGAAAGAAGCTTCTGAAAACATTTCATGAAAATGAAGAAATAACTTCATGTGCAAAAGAAAAACACCACTCTAAAATATTTATCTTGGATACAGATGGGTTTTCATCTGCAGTTCTGTCACCAAAAATGTACTTTTATAACTGGGAGGACTTGTGTGTGGGAAAGAATAATAAAGAGCATACAGGGCACCACAGACTGTATATATATGGACGTAGTCTCAGGGACGTCAGCCATTGGTTTCTGATGAGGACTTTTGGAGCGTATTGATGGTATTAACATTTTTTTTAATACATCTGGTCTTTTGGAACATCATCTTATGAGATGTGATTTTTTGAACTCTTTAGAAACCAGTGGTACAATTTGTACAATAGTATTGTTGTTTGTGAATCACTTGAAATACTTTCCAGAAGTGATTTTTATTACCCTGCAGACACATAACCATCATCAGACGCAAAAATGAATCTGCTCCAGTTTGGATAAAAGATTAACCCTTTTGATTACTACTTTAAGAAAAGGCCTACATTCAGTAGATATCTTGAAAATAAGGATATGATGCTAAATGTTTTTAAAAATCATTTATAGATAAAGCATCTTGGGTTTTCCTCTTCTGGTCTGTTACCAAAGAACAACTCGAGCTCAGGAACAAAACAGAAATGGAAATGTTAGAGCCCTAAATTGCAATTATATAACTTCAAAAGTTCTTCCTGTCTCATAAATTTACACTCTCTTTGCTAATTTGTGATGTTTTTGGTATTTTCTCACACTTGTCCAAAGTCTTTCAGAAGCACAGGATATGATACAGCTGTTTATACAAGCTGCTTAATATTTCCTGTGAAATCAGTGGAGGGCTGTTTAACCATTTATAAAGTTTAATGTGAGAGGGTTGTTCATAGTGCTGATCTCATGAATAACATCCTGCAGCTGTAAGCAATGCTTTTAGCTCTTTCTTTTGTTTCTACAACACTTAACAGGGAAGTGTGTCTTATCCACGAGCATGCTGCAGTTTCAGACTGTGGGACCATTTCCCCTAAGAAAGCTAAAATGATGAAGTGACAAGTGAGACAGTTAAAGAGGCCAACTGTTTTTTCTGAGGAGTTGGTGGAGACCAATATAGAGCCGAAACCCCTTGTAGATTTTTGACTTGTGTGATGCTCTGTTTGAGCTCGATATGAAGATATTATCTAACACCTAAGCCTTGACATTGAATGACCAATCAGGACTGTGATTGTGTATTTATTTTTCATTACTTGCCCCTATTGGTCACAACTCCTTTAATGTTTTTTTGTAAGCGTGTCCCCTCTCCAAGTACTTAACAATCTCTCCCTCCTTGTCCCTCCTTCTCTGTCTCTCTCTCTCTGTCTCCCCCCCTCGCTCACTCTCTCCAGGCCTTTGTAGCTACAGGTACCAACCTCTCGCTCCAGTTCTTTCCAGCCAACCTGCACGGAGATCAGAGGCAGGTTCCTTCGAGGGATTATGTCGACTTTGAGAGAGAGACAGGAAAG